AAACAACTGGCTGTCTAGTACCCTTTCTGCTGGTTTTCCGATGATCTTCTAACCGATGTCAGTTCATGAAGTAATCCTGGGAATAATCATATCCCAGCAAACCAATACTTGTTGATTCAGTTAAGTTTCGAAGGGCAAAACCAATGGTTGGAAAAAATTAGTGATATGGCTCAAAATCGTTCTCAATGGCCAGCGCTGATGCTTCCACTCCTTGTGACTTATGATTTCCAATAAAACTACATTGTTCTTCGTTATTACTATTCCTTTGTCTCACAATTCTGCTTACTGTATTTGCTATGCATTTCTTCGACTTTCTTCTTTTGACCTGTGTGCTACACCTGTCTATCTCTCAGTTTTCGACATAGAACTTTCCACCGATGTGCACCAGTTCAAGTTGCCGCACACCATGGAGCACACAAAGCAAGAGAAGAAAGTACAAGAAATGCATATTCGAGACAGTAAACAGAGGTGCGACACAAAGGAATAGTAATGACGAGGAACAATATAGTTTCATTGGAAATCATAAGTCACAAAGAGTAGATGCATCTGCGCCAGCCATTGAGAACGATGAGTTTGAGCCATATCACCAGTTGTTCTCAACAATTGGTTTTTACCGTCCCGAGGACCCCGACCAGACAGAAGTCTACACCTTCCTATGTGAGCGGCTTTAACTAACTTGTAGATTTCATTGACTGATGAGGCCATGTTTTGGTTTGACCGCCACTAGCTCTTTTCCAGCCTGGCCCTATGTCAGCTAACATTGCCGATTGTCAAGGAAGGCGATGACTAGGCATATGTAACACATGTCCTAAACATCTCAGTCGATGTAATTTCACAGCCTCGTCGACTGATTTCCCCTCCTTACCTAGAAGTCGACTGAGGCCTCACCTCAATATTGCTCACCTTATTATACCACTTCACCCGGGAGATAGAACGCAGGCACCCATGATCGAAGACAGCTAATCTTTTCATGTCTTCCACTCTCAATGGCCGGGTCTCACAGCCCGCCATAAAGGAGGACGGAGCGGACTGATGAGCAGTACACACGGCCTTTGATCAATAGCCAGCAGGATATCATGTCTTTGCCAGAGACGACGTAAACTGGCATATGCGAAACTAGCCCTTTGTATCCGTACTGAGATTCCATCAGAGATCAACCCGCTGGCACTGGCTGATGGTACTTCCCAAATAGGTGAAGCGGTCAACACGCTTCCCCAAAAACTTCACTCCCTATTTCTAAACTAGGAGTCAGTGTAGTTCAGTCCTGTAGCATCATCTAACATTTGACGGGAGCGAATAGCATGCCACACATTCGTAGATTGCAGCTCAAGGTGTTCAGAAGACTCTGCATTTTGTCAGCGTCCTCGCCTAGAAGGACGATATAGACTACATGAAGTGTGGCGACTTGAACTGCCGCACATTGGTGCAAAGTTCTATGTCGAAAACAGACAGACAAACAGACAGTTAAGTTTCTCTCTTACTGAACAATTTCGTGTCAATGCCTTAAATAGATCCCAATGACTGAGCTTCTCGATATCTCGAAATCCCAAACCCGACAATCTACACTTTCCTCCTGTTGTAGCTCAAACCAACAATCAATAACCTGATGCATGCATAAAACATGTCAGAGGGCATCACAATTATTCGAGCTTCACAATCTTACTAACTGATTACTCCTCCTAACCTAAAACTTTACGCTTCAACATTATGATTACTGATTACATTGTACCATTTAGTGAGAGTAATTGAACACAACCATCTAAGGATAATGACCGCCAGCCTTCTGATATTTTCCACTTTTTACAACCATGTATCACAGCTATAAAGTGGATCCTCTTAAACTAGGAGTCAGAGCAGATCAGTCCTGATACATCGTATCAAATGTGATACAGGTGAATCGCAACGGATCTGTACTAACAAATATACTTGATAGGAGATATAGAAAAACTTCTTTCAAACCAACCACCAACCACGCAGGTGTTTCGGGGTTCGATTCCCGGCCACCGACGCACTCCTTTACCTCACTAAGCCAGTAATAAGACTTGAACTCAGTATAAACTTTATTGAAACAGTGAAAAGAATCTATTTAATTCAGTTTTGATTTTCCCGTCGGTTGATTGCTCCGAAGTACTTGGTCTCATGTTGACATATCGTTTCCTCCTTCAGATACTTCAACGATATCTGGTCACGTAACTTGAAGTCAGTTGGTCGATGGTGACTAGCAATGGAATTCAAGCTGTGCGTTTCGTCCTATTTGGGACTCGTCAGCTAGCTGGATGTATCTGCATTACCCAGTGAGCGGTCATTGGGTTCGAGCCTCGGTTAGAACACTATACACCGCTCACTGGGGGATATGGGTACATCCGATTGATGAGCCATAAAAAAGATGAAATGCGCATCCCGGCTGCATGCCACTGCTATTCAGCAACTGACTTCAAGTGAAAAGTATCCATGAAGACTAGCCAATAATCTAAGGCTTACGTTTATCGAGATGTCAGATGCATCATTAGTGATCAGTTAATATTTTCGTGCTTAGGGATTCTTGAAATCTCGTCGCATCAAGTATAACTACCACAAATCGACGATTGTGGTTATTGCCAACATCCACCACTGTCGCCGCCATCACCAGGACATACATATTTCAAAAACAAATCATCACTAGCAATTCCACGCAGTTGGCGATGAGCCATATCTGTTTTTTGAAGGCTAATGATACTACGTGACTGCTTAAACTTCAGGAGCTGGGGCAGGATTCGGACCCGTGAATAAAACAATGCACCATAGCTTCACTTAGGGATACATCAGCTTATCTCACAGCATGAAGTGAAAATAGAGTCGTGCTGTCCGTCACTTTGGTTTCTCATTGGTTTCTATTGTCTACTTGCTCCACTAATCTTCCTGTTTTATTCGAAGACTCTTCAACAACCGATGAACAACTCTTACCAGTGGACCGAACCCAGCAGCAAATCGTTTTTATGAATTAAATTGTTAGAAGCGGACTATAACTTTATCTTCAAGTAACCATTACCTTTTTATAACTCATTTATCTGTATCTCTATATAATAATACTGTCTCAATAGTCTTTATTAACTTGAAGTTATATTCTGATATTTCGTATGCTTATCGAGATCATTGTTAAGTCTTCTAAGAATTAAATTGATGAGCCGATTGGAACGTTTACACTGTTATAGCCTATTATTATCATCATTTTTGTGACTGCATTTCTTATCTATCTATTCATATGTTAATCATGTCATCATACACCCGGTCTTTTGATCCATAGCACGGCCAGGGGGGTGACGAGACACACGAGTCTACAGTAAACGCGATTGTTGACCTCCGCACACTTCAGTTTGGTTTCGGCGAGCCACTAATCTGGTTTGCAATTAGTGAACCCTTATCTGCTGCATAAGGTATTAAATTACAGGTTGCTAAGTAGTACGGAAACATGCATAGCCTACAGAGGTAGTTAGAAATGTGTCACTGTGTCAGTGTTCCTGCCCACTACCAGTATGATAAACGTAAAGCAGGGCTGACACAGCGAACGACAATCTCTTTACCGTCAAACGGATTCAACAGTTACTCACTGTTTGTGAATTAGCTACAAAGAAACCGTTCCAGCTCCTCCTCCACAACCGTATAAAGTCGATAGAATAGTATTACAACAAATATGGTTGCAATGGCTATCACAAAACATCTAACAAATTTTAACTATCAAGTATTGGTTTGTAGGGATTTGATTATTTGGTTACAGGATTTCATCATGAGCTGACATTGGTTAGAGAACCATTGGAAAGCATTAGAGTACTGGACAGCTGTTCCATCCTAGTTTGGCACTCTTCAGCAGGACGTACCTAACGAAATTCTCACCCAGCACCTACTGGTTACAAGGCGAGCTCGTATACCATTAAGCTACTGGGACCCGTTCCAATGGCCCACGAATTCTAACTTCCGCCAATTCACGACATAACGGGACACCAGCCAATGACTTCGGCGAAGATTTGTCCTCACATCGGACCGGCTGCACCCCACTGTTCACGCCTTCTCACTAGAAACCCAGTTAACCACCCACCTGAATAGGGCCAGTCGCTAGTGAGCATCACATCGATATTCAAGTGTTGGTTTGTAGGGATTTAATTAATTCATTACAGGACTTCATCATGAACTGACATTGGTTAGAGAACCATTAGAAAACCTACAGGGAGTGGTGAACAGCTGTTCCGTCCTAGTTTGGGACTCTTCATCAGTACGCACCACCGAGATTCGAACCCTACAAACCAATACTTGAATATCGATAAGATACTCACTGGCCACTGGCCCTATCCAGATAGGTAGTTACCTGGGGATCTAGTGGGACGTTGTGACCAGTAGAGTGCAACAGGTCGGGTGTGAGGACAAATACTCGCCGAACACATTGGATAGTGGTCGCACTATGTCTTGAATTGGCAGAAGTTAGATCATATTAGGTCCCAGTGGCTTAATGGTCTACGAGCTGGTTAACCTTGTAACCGGAAGGTCTTGGGTTCGATCCCTGTCGGTGTTGGGTGCATACTGATGAAGAATCCCAAAATAGGGCGAAACAGCTGTCCAGCACTAGCACTTCATGTTAGTTTTGCAATGATTCTCTAACCAATGTCAGTTCATGATGCAATCCTGTAATCAAATTTTAACTATATCCTGTGAATAGATATTAGTCATTTTCATAGAAACGAAGACAATCTCAACCTGCAACGAAATGCATCGCTAACCTTTACAACCAGAAAAAGAAGAAGAAGAGGGTATTTGTTTATCTGTTGCCATACGTCTGGATAAAACCGTGGTGCCTTTTCTCGCCATCGTCATCATCACCTCAGTTACCGAGTATGTGTGCAAACTTAATAGTTGATCCGCTCCAAAGCATTAACTATTCCTTACGTTGTGTGTATGTGACTCTACTATGTACAACCTTACGCACAAACGCACACAGGCACACACACATACACAACTTGATATTAACTTACTTATAAGTAGACGACGTTATCTGTTGTCTTCAATACTTTGTGCAGATTCCATTAATAACAGTTTACTTCTACTACTATTACTACTGTTAGTAGTAGAATTATTTCTATGATCATGTTTTGAGACAGGATAAGACGATGGCATGAAGAATTGATGATGAATACGATTCATAGCATATTTTTTTGATTGGAGTAAATGTTTTTGAAGTGTTGATAATACTATTGAAGTGGATGATGAAGGGGATGGCGGTGGCGACGATAAGGATTGTATACATAAATCTGGATTAGATGAGATGACAAACGATGCAGGTATATCAGAACTCTGAGGAGGGTACGAGAAAGAAGAGAGGAAATAATGAGCAATTGAGAGAAATAATAATCGCGTTCATTAAGAAGATAACTAGAAGACTTTAATAATTCTTACTCAAGTGTTGATTTTCAGGGATTTGATTGGTTACAGGATATCATCATGTGCTGACGTCGGCTAGAGAACCATTGGAAAACTAGCAGGCTATAGTGGACACCCAGCTGTTTCTTCCTCCTGGATTGGGACTCTTTATCAGTGAGCACCCACCGCCGACAGGGTTCGAATCCAGGACCTTCGGGTTACAAGGCTAGCGAGCTTGTAAACCATTCATGAACTACTGGAACCCAACCTGATCTAATGACCAGTAGTACATGAATTCCAGCTTCTGTCAACTATCTGCGCCACTAGCACTAGCCAGCTTTATCGGTGGCGAGTATCTGTCGTCACACCTAATCTGGTGACAACTTCCCACCAAAACCCAGGTAACTAACTACCCACCTGAAAAGGGTCAGTCGCTAGTGAGTATCAGATTGTTATTCAAGTGTTGTATCGGGTATGAGGACAAACACTCGCCACCTAGGACATTGGATAGTGCCAGTCGCGCTATTTCGTGAATCGGGAAAAGTTGGAATTCAAGGACTGGTCATTGGATCGGGTTGGGTTCCAGTGGTTCATGAATGGTTTGCGAGCTCGATAGCCTTGCAACCTGAAGGTCCTGGATTCGAACCCTGTCGGTGGTGGGTGCTCACTTATGAAGAGTCCTAAACCAGGAGGAAGAAACAGCTGGGTGTCCACTATAGCCTGCTAGTTTTCCAATGGTTCTCTAACCGGTGTCAGCTCATGATGAAATCTTTTAATAGTTGTCTTTCAGTCTTCAGGACACCTTGAGCAGAAGTCTCCGAATGTTTAGCATGTAATCTTCACCTGTCCAATGTAAAATGACAGTTACTGGACGGTCCTGCACCGATTCTTAGTCTAAAGATATGAAGTTGCATCATCTCTAGTAGACTGATTGCTAGCGACTTCTCAGCAAGTATACAGAAGGCTCATGCGGTATTTCTCATCTAGTATCACCTCCAGCGTAGATGCAATATCTGACTGTCGAGCGAAGGACGGGTGTACTACTCAGCAGTTCGTACCTTCCTTCCTTATGGTTGCGAGTCGTGGCCATTAAAGGTGGAAGACTTAAAAAGGTTAACTATCTTCGACCATAGGTGTTTGTGTTCTATCTCTCGTGTTAAGTGGCATAATGTGGTGAGTAATATGGAGGTTAGGCGCAGGCAAATCAATCGATGTTTTGAAGTGACATCACACGGCAGGTAGGCCGTCGAGTGCAACTTTATTTTATTTTTTACTTTTTTTTATTTTTGGTAACAGCTTGATTCCACACTGTATTTTTGGTACAAGTATGGAATTTTCAGCGTGGATATCGGTAGCCCAAATTTCGCAGGCCGACCATAGATATCAAGTGTGCGCCGGTGTGGGCTCGAACCCCGGACCATGTGCATGGTCGTCGAGAGTCCTAACCACTGTGCCACCGACGCACAGAGACGAAGAGTTAAGCATAATTATACGGGTAATATGTAGGAGATCGTATGGGAAGGTGATGTAATCTCATGGAGAATCGTGCAGACGCCTGCAAAGGATTACAGAGAACGGCTCAGACTGAAGATAACCTGATGACAAAGCCCAGAATTTCGATAGGAATAGAAGAGAATTATACTAAGTATCAAAAGACCGTCTCATTTGTTTGCAACTGAGCTCACCGTCATCATCATCATCATCATCATCAGTTGAGTTTTCAGCTTCGTTCAATTCCAAACTCAGAAAAAGGGAATTGTTGGACACGAGGCCAGCAAACAAACCCTGTAGAGAAACACAAGTGTTACTGAAACTTTCAATCTTGAGCTTCAAGCCGAGAGAACGGATGCAGAATATAAACATCATGTAGTCTGAATACTTATGGCCTTCAAATGATACCATAATGATATTCCATTATTCGGACTGTAGATTTTAAAAATTTAATAAACTTTCTCGATAGAATTCCTAACAAAAACGCAAAATCAAATATATTATGAAATCCTACAATCTGAATATTAATCGCCAGATAACTGATGGTGAAGCTACAGGGGCAAAGTCGTGTGCAGCACGATCCACCATGTCACAGTAAAAGTGGATTCTCATCGAATGGCTTCGGTAAGCGTAGCAGTACATCACAAGTTGATCAAGTCATTGAATTCCAGCCTAAGTAGTTAAATGACCAACGATCTTGGTCTCATAACCTGAAATTTCCATGGTTTAATCCCTGATGAGATTGTAGGTGTGCACCGGTGAAGAGTCCAAAAATGAGACGAAACAACTAGCTGTCTAGTGCTCCTAGCTAGTTGTTGATTCGTGACAAAAATCTAACTAATGGAAGTTATATATCGAAGTCAATCAACAACAATAGAGATGAGGTGAAAACTGATTCGAACATCTACTGTAAAGTTGGACCAATCAAAGTTCAGTCATAGATAACCTTGACGAATAATACTGGTAGACAACCAATCGAATTCAAATAGGGTAATATATATATATATATATATATATATATATATATATATATATATATATATAAGCATTATATTGGGAGATATGTATGGCTGATAAGTCGGTCATGCGAAACGACAGCTGTGAATATTTTCAGGTCATTTCTTGACAGTTTAAGAGCAAAATGGGGTATGAGAGATTTAAATTACGATGATAACGCATTACGGTTCAGTTATTTCATCTACATAAACAGACAGCTGTCAGAGAAAGAAGTCGAAAATGTTATGAATCGCAAGCTTAACGATATTGATAATAATAATGATTGAAACGAGTTAACGTAATGGTACTGACAAAGGATAATCTTGAATGAATGGATAATAAGCGATGGAATGTAATAAAATACTATTAATAATAATAACAATTAAAGTAAAAGATATTTTTTACGAGTTTGACCATAGACTAATATCACTTCGCATAGGGTGAAGTTAGAGTTCATGGGCTGGCCATTAAATCGGGCCCCAGTGGCCGAATGGTATATGAGCCCGACGGCCTTCTAACCAATAGGTCCTGGGTTCGAACCCTGGCACCGGCTGCGTACTACCGATGATTCTCAAAAGAGGATGAAAAAGCTGTCCAGTGGTTCAACGGTACTCTAACTGATATCCATCTGTGGTCAAAGTCGTGAAAAACAAAACTAATCCTTACAAAACAACTCTGGTGAAAAGTAAAAGATATTACCACGATAGATTCAAAGCTACCAGCATTTTCCTTCTCTAAGCATAAACAGGGTTTATAAACTCTGATTATCCAAGACACAGTAACTGGAAGCATCTTTCTGCTTTATAGCCTGTCTGCTGACAAAAGAGAATGATGTGACGTGAGCGTCAACATCATGTTCGTAGTAGTCTGCAAGACACTTTGTTACCAAACTTTTTCGTGCCTTGACATCATTTCCGATGATAAAGGTGAACGAAGAAAGAAGATGAGCAGAGTAAGTAGATTTATTTTACATTACTTTCTGTCCCCTTGGATTCTGAGTAGAACATAGGGCTTCCAACAGTATACCTTCATGTTGTCCTATTCTCTGTGGTCCTATTTAGCTGACAATCGAGGTGGCCCATTGGCTCTCTCCTCGTCCTCGCACGACCTATGCCATATCACCCGCGGACCCACGCCCCACGCAGATGATATAGTCCTTCTACGTGAAGACGCTGAGATAATTCAGAGTCTTCTGAACACCTTGAGCTGCAATCTACAAATGTTTGGCATGCTATTCACTTCCGCCAAGTATAAGATGATGAGGCTAGAGTACGGACTACATTGACTCAATTCTAGTTGAGAAATAGGGAGTGAAGCGGAAGAGCGTGTTGACCGCTTTACTTATTTAGAAAGTTGCATCAGGCAGTGCCAGCAGGTTGATCGATAACGAAATCTCAGCACGGATACAGAAATCTCGTTTGTCATACGCCAACTTACACAATATCTGGCTTAGTAGACGTGATATCCAGCTGGTTATCAATCAAAGGGCTCAGCTCCTTTATAGCTGTGAGACCTGGCCATTGATAGTGGAAGATATGAAGACTCTGGCTAGCTGTCTTTGGTCATAGGTGTCTACGTTCTATCTCTCGTGTGAAGTGGTATAACAAAGTGGACAATATTGAGCTGGTTAGGCATGGAGTGTAAGATAAGTCAAGGAGGGAAAATTCTGTCGACGAGGTTATGAAGTTAAATCGATTGAGATGATTAGAACATGCGTTACACACACCTAGCAGTCATCGCCTTCCTCGACGATAGGCATTGTTAGCTGACATAGGATCAGATTGTGGGGAAAGAGCTAGTGGCTTCATCAGTCAATGAACTTCGTAACTGTTAGTATCACCAAGCCAAGTAGGGAGGTGTAAATTCCTGACTGGCTGGTTGGGGTTCTTGAGACGGTAAGAACTATTGAAAACTGGAGACAATTATGAGTGATATGGTTCAAAGTCATTGTTGTCAGTGGCTGGCACAGATGTATTCACTCTTTGTAGTTTGTCGTATCACCCAGTGAAAGTCTACTGTTCTTTTTTCCTCATTCACACTTGTGTTTATTATCTCTCTTTTGTAACTACACACTTCTCTTGTTTTCTGTACTAAATGAAGGGAGTGGGGCATTTTGAACTGATGTACATCTAAGCAAAGTTCTATATTGAAACCAGTCAGTCCAAGCTGACATACACACCCGAACCCCGATTAGTCGTTCACATAGACAACAATTTTAATGGTTTTAATACCCTTGATGTACTTAAATGTCTCCGGTCTCTTAAGCCTTCCAAAAGCCTTGGTCCTGATGGTGTATCTGCCCTTGTCCTCAGGAACTGTGCTGATATTTTATGTTACCCTCTTACTAACATTTTTAATGTTTGGATAAGAACTAATGTGATGAATAATTGTTTATGCAATCAGGGATTAAATATGTAGAAATAGTAAAATGACAAAATAAGTCGGTGTTCTTCAAGGTGCCGTTCGTCCTTTCTGCTTTTCTCTTTTTTCTTTCTTCCTACACGACCTGTCTCATTTAAACAAAACTAACTTTGTCAAATATGTGGATGATCTGACTGTATCACTCACTGCCTATCTCTTCCAGGTCTGACTCCTCCAAACTTAATAGCTTTCTGTTGGACATCAACAAGTGGTCTAAGTCAAATGGTCTTATGTTACATCCTTCTAAATGTCAGGCAGTTTACTTTCAAGCATCGACGCGACAAACATGAACTAGTTAGTTCCCATGACACCTGTAGCATAGATGGCACGGAAATTGAAACCAAGTCAAGCATTAAATACCTTGGATCAGTTCTTTCCTCTGACCTTTCATGGTCATCCCATATCTTATCTATCTCTAAGAAAATGTTTCGTCTTACATGCTAAATCAAAAAGTTAAGACAATCAGGTATCAACCAACCTTTAGTTTTGCAATTTTTAAACTCCTGTATATTACCTATTGTACTCTATTGCTCTCCATTAATCTTTCCCTGGGCTTCTCTAAAAAGACTATATCATATTACGAAGGGTATTAAATGCTGAGAGTAGGGCTTGTGGTCTGCCACTGCGTGAGCTCGTCAACATTATAGTCGAGAGATATATAAAATCCTGTACAAAATTGGCGAAAGCCATACTGTCAGATCCCCTGCACCCGCTTTATTCACAACTATCCCATTGCATCTCATCAGATAGGACGAGAAGTCAATATAAAAAGTTATATGCTCGCACCATTAAGTACAGAAATTCTACAATACCCTATTTAGCCCGTATTTTATGTGATGGAGACACTGTTAGACGTGAAACATATAAGTTACTATGCAGTGAGCAGAGTGAATCCACCCTTTCATCGTTCGTTCATCTTTCTGTAATTTTATGTTGTCATCTTTTCTTTCGTTTAATTATAACTTAGCTATTTTATTTTATTTTAGCTTTTATTACTATTATTACTACAATTTTATACTTTATGCATATTTTTTCTCCTTATCGCATACTGCAATTGGTACATAGCTGCTATAACAACTTTCTGTTATTATTATTACGCAATGTTTATTATATTTTGTAGTTTTGAGTAAATTAGATGCAATATTATACTGAATGCTGAAAACTCCTTGCTGTATAATTAAGTACTGTTTTTGGAATAAAGCAAAAATTATTATTATTATAGTCGTAAGCAAGTGAGAAAGAAGGGTGGAAGTGAGGCTGACAAGCCAGCGTGTTATTGAAATTTTAAAGTACAAACCGGAAGCGATATGTCTCAGTCGCAACGGGAAAAAAAGTGAAAATTATTCGAAACTGAATAGATGTTAGAAAGAAGAGAACACGAAGTTCACCAACACAAATATCTGTCTTTTCGGCGATTTCATTTTCAAAAACCACTATACAATCGCATTTATATACATAATTTTACATGCATACATTTTCTTGTTTGATTACACATAATTACGACAGCAAATAAAAGGTGATAATTATTTTCAACTAGATATGGTTTTTACGAGGAGAGGCTTAGAAACAAAATTAACACAGGATTAGAACAGATAACAAGTCTGTGTAAAAATGAGCATTGAAATAATAATTTTCAACTTGAGATGGGAGTTAGAAGGTGTGACTATAGATTACAAGAGCCTTAGAAACTGCGGCGATTGGGTGGAAGAGGAGCTCTTATTCCTCCAAAATATCCTGGCTCAAAATGGTTACCCAGCACGTTTCGTCGAAAAGAACATGAAATCTAAACCAAAAAGAGAAGAATGCGATTCAACGCTGAAGAAAATTCTGTATATGAATCTAAATTTCAGGGGAAATTCGGCAGCTGATATCCTAAAAAGGAGAATATCTAGCTCTTTAAAGAAGACCCTCCCTGCAGCAACATTAAGAGCGACATTCTGTAGCCGTCAAATACTTTTAAGCAATACAAAGGACAAACTCTCGCATATGACCAATTCAATGTGCATATACCAGTTCACTTGCTCGTGCGGAGCTAGGTACATAGGTCGTTGTATGCGTGTCTTTTCAAAACGTGTTAGAGAACATTATCCAGCATGGCTGCAAAGAGGAGGCACTGGTTCAATCAGAAGTGCCATTATTGAACATCTGATAAACACCTTCCACAACATCTCAACTGATTCTTTCAAAGTGATTTACAAAGTCAACAGAAACCTACCAAAAGTAGTATGTTTCCAACTTCCTTGTACTGCAGAAGCCCTCGCAATATGCATCGAGAAGTCGGAGCTGTGTGTGTTCAAAAGAAATTAGTCCAACCTTTACAACTACCATGGACCTAGTTCGATATGTTCCCTTAGCTGCCACTTTTTTCGTTCTCTCTTTTCCTTTTGAGCATTTTTTCGTTCGCTGTGTGCCTGATCCTTACTCCTTCAGTCGTCATTCGATTCACCCCATTTTTTTTCAGTTATAAAAACAAGTATTTTATGTTTATTTCCATGCTTTTTCTGTTCACATTTATAATTCGTTTAAAATAACTATTTTACAATTATATTCTAATCTTGTGCAATTTTTATGTTTCTAAAGCTCTTGTAATCTATATTCACACCTTCTAACACCCATCACAAGTTGAAAATAATTATTTCAATTTTGTTTCCATGCTCATTTTTACACAGACTTGTTATACGTTCTAATCCTATGTTAATTTTGTTTCTAAGCCTCTCCTCGTAAAAACCATATCTAGTTGAAAATAATTATCACCTTTTATTCGCTGTCGTAATTATGTGTAATCGAACAAGAAATTCTGTTGTGACAGCTGGCTGTTAGCCAAAAATTGGTGGACATTAATTTGCGTTAATCTTTATGCCCCCAATATTGGTCGTGAGAAAAATGAGAACAAAAGCTTCGCGTAGGCGGATATAGTTAGCATATAGATGATCTGACATTCAAGAAACAGCCACAAAGAGATCCAAGGTTAACTTTCTTTGAGAAACAACCAATCAGAAGACTGTGATTTTTGCTAATAATAATAATAATGGCCATGAAAATCTATAAATATATGTTGATTTGCTGAATGAACATTGGACAAAGATATCTTACCAAACCTTAGCTCGTCTTCTTCTTCATGCATATGTTGATCTTCTTAATAAAAGATCTGTTGCCTAGCTCTTGTCTTCTGTTGTTACAAATGTATCCATGTACAACTATGTATTAAAATGCGACTGTACAGTGGTTTTTGAAAATGAAATCGCCGAAAAGACAGATATCTGTGTTGGTGAACTTCGTGTTCTCTTCTTTCTAATGTACATATGGATGTTTTCCATGATCTGAATAGATGTTATTCACAATGTTAAATAAAGGAATACTATTTTGATAAGTTTTTTTTAGAAACAAAAAAGCAAACTTACACAACTTGTTTCACATCCTGAAAGATTTACTTGTGGAGATGACAATGAAAGAGATGAAGCAGTAGCAGCAGAAGTCGTTAGAGAAGATGAAGAAGAGGTACACACAGAAGACACTTGCTCACCATCACCATCAGCATCATTAAGATGCGATGAATACGATAAACAAGTCATTTGAATATCTTGATCGCCTTCTTCTTTTTGAATCATTGCCTGTTGTAAATCATTATAACTTCTACATTTAACGAATACTTCATTATTGAAATGGATAACAGTATCATCAATATCCTCAGAGCTAGTAGTTGGACGACCATTATCCCTGTCGGTGTCAATATAACAGGCATTGGAAATTATCATATCACCAACCATGGGATTCTGATTGAATTTTGATGCAGAATTTCCATTTATTAGAGATGAACATAAAGATTTACGATCTTGAGGAAACCAATCCACCTGTTGACAATGACCAGACGACTGTTCATCGCCTTGTTGTACGCATAATCCCCCGGAAGGAAGTTTCAAATCACATTCAGGTAATGAATAAGCATGTTTCAACACCTTGTTGTCATCAGTGGAATCAATTAAACCAGCTGTAGAATATGTTGAATTGGTCATAACATTCAACACTTTCATCGCTAACATATTCTCCTCTTCCTCCGCCTTCTGCTGTTGTTCTTGTCGTTGATCTACATCATCGATTTCATCTTCAACTTCAAGAACGCTGGATAATTTATTGACTGAATTAAATGCCATTGACAGACCTCCAACAGCGCCACCGCCACAACCACCACAACCTCCAGCAATGGAACCACTACGAGATTTTCGACCGCCAATTAGGAAATAGCTTGAACGGGATCTTTTATACTGTAATTGTTGACATTTATCACAGCGATCTATGCCTAGACCAGAGGCGTTATTATGCCTGATTGAACAGTCCATAGAAGAAAGATGATGATCTTCAATCAGGTCGAGTTGACGCTTTTGTGTACATATACGTATTAAAGCACAAATCAATATTGCAGGGACTGGAGCAAGAACTAATCAATATAAAAAGAAAAAAATAATAATGATAAGTGAATAATAACTAGTGAAGCAAATGTTGAGTTGTAAAAACAAAATGCGTTAACCACAGATGTTACGAAAACATAGTGACAACTGTAGTGTATTGTTGAGGCAATGAGTTCCACAATTTTTGCAAGCCGAAATTGTAGACAACATTTCACGTCAATGTTCACGTCCTGAATAGGGGGCGTGAGAAAAAAGAGAAAATCACCAGCCAATCACAGCGCAGTTAATGTGTGGAAATATGATTCACAGATATGTGACTTGATTTTCAGAGAAACGGCCACAAAGAGATAACAGAATAACCACCTTCAGCAAGAAAACAATCAATCAGTAGAGGTTGCTTCTCCGCTAACAATAACGCTAATAATAATGTACATAAAAATCTATAAATGCCTCTTGATTTTGTCAATTAATGATCTGTTGCCTGGCCGTTGTGTCTTCAGTCGTTACAGTAACACATAGAACAAGATTCGAATTTTCAATATAAATGTTAAGTCAGAAACTTGGCGTGTTATGAAAAGCATTTCCTACAAGTCAGTGCAGACGTTTACCAACAGCTTCCCTCGCTGACTCTAAATTGAAGATCAAGTGGCTGTCTAGAAAGAGTTGGCAGCAAGACACTCTGGGAATAAACTAATCAAGGATTTATTGCTCAACAAACATGGAGAAGAAAATGAAGATGGCCTGAATACATGCTGAGAAGACCGTTGGATGACACCATACACCAGGCATAACCTCAGGTGGAATTCGAATGGGTGACAATGAGTGGGGCGTCAGCACGGAAAATGACACTGAGGAGAACAGAGGCTATATGTGGTGACAGCTGTCTGCTAGTCAAAATTGGTAGACAGCAATTTACGTTAATGTTTACGTCCCAAATCTTGGTCATGAGAAAAAAACAAGAACAAAGACTAGCTCAACAACCAATCACAGCAGACTATGCGTAGGCGAATACGATTAGCAGATATATCAACGGACTGTCTAAGGAAGAGCAACAAAGAGATGACAGAATAACCTTCGGCAGGAATACAACCAATCAGAGGACACTACCTCTCTGCTAACAATAACGAATAATAATGTACATAAAAATTTATAATTTATAATAATTGATTTTCTCAATCGACGATCTGTTGCCTGGCCCTTGTCTTCTGGCGTTCTATGGACCACCATCGGGTCAGCTAAAGAAGACAGCAGAAAATAGAACAAAGTGGAGACGGGCTGTTGAAGTCCTGTGTCCCACTCGGAACCTAAGGGAACGATAACAATATAATAATTAGGCGGTCGCTAGATTCAAGCTTAAATTTCACCTCTTTTTTCCAAGCTTGAGAGACGAAGAGACCATTTAGTAATATCGTGCGAACCGCCGTCGAGTAGAAGTCTAACGGGAAACAATAACTTGGAGGAGATTATATGATGAGAAGAGAATGAAAACTTATGAGTAATCATTGAGCTAGTTGGAAAAGACTACAAGAAGAGGAAAGTAAAATGGACATTTGCTCGCTTCTGAAGCTCCCTGTTCCAATCAGGACCAAAGGACACAATAAAAATATAGTATTAATAATAATAATAATGATTTCTAACTAATGAAGAGTCGAGATGTTCACACAGTTGAAAATATTTCGAAGTTATAAAATAGAATTTTTATTGCGAAAGCTTTCAAAGCTATCATTGTAGTGTTTTCATTGACATTGTAATAATCAACTTCATCGTATTTCAACAATGATGTTTAGTCTCCGATTTCTATTGGTCAGTAATTAATTAGAAGTAGTGGTATTCGGGCTACCCATGCAAAGTTCAAATGAACAGTCAGTAAATCAATAAATCAATGAATTCCTAAAGACCCTTGATACTACTTCTAGAGTCGTGAGTGCTACTTATAATCAGATATAAGTAGTATATCAGCAAACGAGTTCAAAAAAAGGCAACAATATGTTTTTCGACACTTGAAAAAGCAATTGAAGAACAGAATTGTAAGAACTGAACAGAATCATCCAACAAGCTATCAAATGTGGTGATATTAGATCAATTTGCAAAAAATGTGCAAACAAAGTATTGGACATAAGTTAAACCAAATTTATGTATCCACAATGAGTTTGTCTTAATAAACATTCCATTGAGCATCATCGGTCTTTTCTTTCTCACACTATTACTACTACTGTAATGTCGGAAGACAACAGAATTCGATAGAGGAATTATTTATTGGCAGATGCAACACATATTATCCTGTCTATAGTTTTTTCTTTGCTTCCATCTTTACGAGCAGTACTTGCCACATTCAAAGCACTAGTGTTTTCTGATACTCATGCACAGTCCCACTAATTCACCTTGCAAATCTTCAATTTTCTCTCCCCACTAATTCGATTTCAGTGACTCTATTGCAGCTACATTTGCGCTCAGTATCTGTCTTGGCACCTTCGCGAGCTCACACATGTCCTTGGGTTGTGTAACGTCGACTAGAATAGTTGCCATCGCTGGAAAATCGAGGGTGCTACAAAATTTCCGATGAATCGGGGAGCCTATACCTGCATCTCTGAATCTTTATTAAGTGTGTTGGAAGCTAACGATGAAGTTAACTTATCAGCTTCACTGATCCTAGATTCGTGACAAAGAAATTCTGCATTGCCTGCTGTCTATCCATCAGACTGTAGAATTACGCCACCAATAGCTTTCACATCTCTTTATTGTTTGACTTCTCCATATTGTCGTACGCCAACTTCGCCCAACTTTCCAGCATCGTCATCAGAACAACTGTTTTCGCCGTCAGATCTTCGAGGCCGGCCAACTCAGCGACAGCATCGAAGTTTCACAAGAAGCTCTGTATGTCTCCTTCCTAGAAAGCAACCTGTCATAAAATCTTCATTGCCTGAAGGCAGATGTAGCAAATGCAACAGCAGAAGACAAGGGAATTCGGGAACAGGATTATTAACTGGCAACTCGACATACGGATATAGGCAAAATATGTTTACCAGACAGCAGAACCACAATTTACACATGTCTTCCATATACTGCTTCTTCGTCCTCCTATCATGTCTTTCATTAAAACCATCCATCTCTCCACTATTAGATATACTTGTAGACGATTTACATATTTATACCTGAATCTGTGTATTATTATTAATTCCTTTGATTCCTAGAGGAACATAGGGCTTCAGACGCACCTCTCCATTGCGTTCGGTTCTCCCCCTACCAACGTTTTCACTTGGCTTCACGTCTACCCACATGCTTTCATCTCCTCTTCACATGACCTCTTCCATGTCACCCCCGCACTGACGACCAACTCGGGTTCTACTCGAGCAATGGCCTGCGGTGAAATGTCACTTGAAGGCTTTCTCAGAGTATGGCTAATCCATCTCCATTTCTTCCTGTATATTTGTTGCACAACTGGTTCCTGCTGAATTGATTCGCTCCCAGAGATCCCTACCAGTTGCTGATCATTGCTGGCCGGCCATCTGATCTTGAGTGGTAATGAGTTAAAACCGCTGTTGATGAAAGTGTGTAGTTTGTTTGAAGTGCCCTTCCTGACACGGTGCTGCACCAAGTCTCTGATCCGTATAGTAAGCAGCACTGACTTTACATTGGAGTTGAAAATCCAGGTCGTATTCTTCATGATGACTAGTGCTGTTGATCTTCACACAGACTTGAGAGAAATGAAAGCTTGCCTTGCTTTCGAGATCCTCGCTTTGATATCCTCATCAGTTCTGTCCACCTGTAGTTGAAACGAGGCTTCCCAGGTATGTAGGTAAAGGAGGTTTCTTCTTTCAGACTTCTCCGATTTATGCTGATTGTTGTTGTTTCTGTTGCTGTTAGTGTTGGCCAGGAATCTACATCATTTCTGTTTTATCTCTGTTCATCTGAAGTCCTTCCTATCTATATCGCTTCTTCTGTCTCCAACTTGTTGCTGTTCACTTGCATATCTTCCAGTTTGTGGGGAATCAGACATATGTCACATCGGCGAAACCCAGATCTTCGAACTCTTTTTTGTGGGTCCATTTTATGCCCTGTCTCCTCTTTGCTCACCACCACTGTTTATCGCATTGAATCTATGTATACTACTCATAAATTTTGTCAGTAGTACACGCCAAACTACAGCCGCTACTAATACTTCTACTGAAGTGAGCCGAATGTTAACGGATAAACTACTTATGCACACTTATAAGTAGCACATACCACACGACTACTTTTATCATAGATTAATATGATAATGACAAATTAATTCATTTTAATAAATACAGAACAAGAGGAGTTAGAACGATTTCTGGAAATCATGTTGCGCAATAATTTAAACAGTATCATATGCAAAACAGGAAAAAAATTTTGATACATGCACGATCATTAAAAGTATAGAAAAAACATAAAAAACGATCTAAGGAATTCCATATTAGTTTGATTATTAAATGTTTCACTGTGTGATACATTTAATAATCAAACTAATATGGAATTACTTAATACCACAGTGCCCAAGTTTTACACATATATTAACGATCTAAGGAGCTTAAAATTTGGAAATCACAAGACATTTCATTATTCTGCTCTGACAATTCTCCTCCTATTCAACTATATATCATCAAGTTTTTCCTTTATTTTACGCACCTCCCCTTTTCAATTTGTGACATTTATCCGTAATTATTGAAAATTTTTAAAAAATTATTTCGATACATACAATATCCATCATTCACCTATGTGGTCAATATTAACTATTAATATTATTATTCCCTCGGGTACCGAATGGAACATAGAGCTTCAACGACACATCTCCACTCTGTACTATTCTTTGCTGTCCTCTTTAGCTGGCTGGCTCCTCGATTGCCCTTAATCTCTCATCTCTTCCTCCCCAACACACGATCTCCTCTATGGCAACCTCGCACTGACGACCCACTCGTTGCTTCTCATTGGAACTGCACTGAAGAGATTGCCTGGCGCGCGATGTCATTCGTCAGCCTCTTTAGCGCATGCCTAATACATCCCAATTTTT